CTTATCTCAAAAACAATATGAAGGCTCTCTTTAGAAAACTGTTTACTGCTGTTCCTCAAATGAGGTGATTAGTATAGCTGGATAGATCCCCCAAGGAACAAGAAAAATATCAATCATTTTCTCTCTTGGTTGGCAGGCAGGTAAAATTGAGAAGAGAAAGCTAAAATGGGAAGAACAAAGGATAGCAGTCTAACACCAAAGATGAAACTTGGGGCTTAGGAAGTTAAAATATACCAGTAGAACTGAGAAGCTACAAAAGAGAGAAGAGTCATAATGGAGGAGAAAGAGAATATAAACATTTATAAGTAAAACTAAGTTGTTTACGATGAAGCTAAGCAGTGGCAATAATAACAGAGAGAGATGAGGAAAAAAAGAGAAGAAACAAACGTGGGCAGTGGAATTCAAAATGCTGTTGCGATCATGTTCAGTGCATATATTCCATGTGCCACTATTATCTGAGACAGAGCAGGCAGTACAAGAGGTAGTGCTTTCTCTGTGATGGTTTTTCAATTTTTGAATACACACCCCAGCATTTTTTGGCAGACCCCCTCCCATCTGTGAAGTCTTCAAGAGTGTGTGTGTGTGTTTTATTGTAACCAGAATCTGGAAGAAGTTGGCAATCTGTCTTTTTTCTTTAAAAAAAAATACCAGTATATGAATTATAAGCAGCTATTGCTTTTTTTTTTTTTTTTGGTATTACTGTAGGGTTGCCAACTCGACTCACCTGTCGGAGCGGGGGAGCCTTGCCGGCGTCCGGGAGCTCTTCATGGACGCGCGCGTGCGCAAAGCGTGCACGCGCCGGCAGCACGTCACCAGAAGTGACGTACGACGTTGCTGACATTGGGGGCGTGGCCGAGCTCGTCGGGGGGAAAACCATATGGTTTTCTGGTGATGCAGCTTCGGGGGCGGGGTTCCCCCCGGGGCCCAATTCCGCTGCGGCGGAAATTGGGCCTTCGAAGCGGGGGCTTCCCCGCCCCCCGGGCCCATTTGGCAACCCTATATTACTGTTTTATCGTTTTTAGCATGCAGCAGTTTTATAACACAATTTAAATGCTACGTAACTGCTGTTAATGCTTTTTCGCTTCTGCTTTTTTAACTTCTTGCATCTTGAATGCCAATGTAAGCCACTGCACTGTTGTCTTCAAGCTGTCAACAGCCTAGAAACAGACTGGCTGACTAAACAGAGTAGCAAGAAGACGTTGCAGGCAAGACATAGGAAAACCAAGAACAGCACTGCAGTAATCATGCTTAGAAAAAAATAAGGAAGTGAATCAGTACTTTTTGTGCATCCTCAGAAAAAAAGGAATGTTTGAAATATTAATTGTCTGAACTGGCAAGATGTGTAGCTGTAGCTTGAATGAAAGGACAAAAAGAAAGAACAGAATCCCTCCTCTCCTATGGAAGCTTACTAGATGACCTTGGGCCAGTTACACACTCAATCTGGCCCACTTCATAGGGTTATTGTGAGGATAAAATGGAGGTGAGGAGAACAATGTAAGCCATCAACCATTAAAAACAACAACAACCTTAATGCAAACTAGGTTATTTGCTTTTTAAAAAATAACATCTAATTATATTTTTTAGTTTGGTCAGAATGTCTGTGTTATTGGTCAGAATGTCCAGAATTCAGGAATATGTTATAAAATCACTGGTTCTCTTTTAATCACTTAAAAGCAGACTTGAGTGTCATAGGGTGCTAAGGCAGTTAAAATGTGCTTATAAATAAAATGAATACATTAAGGAAGAATAGTCATTTTGAACTCTCACTCTGAAAAGAGAAGGGAACCTCACCATAACTGGCTACCAACAGCACAAAGTTGACATTGCAAAACAGACGCCTAATAGATCGCAGATAAGCATTCTCTTCAGATTCTGCTATGTGGATCAAGGCCTGGGCCCGACTTGGAGGGTACTGTGGCTTTTCCCGGAACACTGAAAACAAGCACAGAAGCAGAAGTCAGTAACACAGGAATACATGGCTGTATACGGCAATTAGGGCAACACAAGCAGAAAGCCCTGTGGAATAAATCTTCATTTGCACTCAAATTGTAAAAGTTCACAGTGCAAGTCTTCTCATCCACCGCATGGGTGCTGATTGCATAAGAAAATCTCTGGAATATAAAAATGTATAAGAAGAGAGTACACTAGTTATCAACCAAGTATTTCAAAACCAGGGAGGAACTCATTCCCTTGTGATCCGCCTACCTAGCCAATTCATCTGCTTTGGAATCCATATGGACCACAAAGGATCCTAAATCTGGGGAATGCTTCAAGTCACTTAAAGGCATTGGCCAAACCTCTGAGGCCTAAGGTAGCCAACCACCAGGTAGGGCCTTGAGCTCTCCCAGGGTTACACCTGATCTCCCAACTACATGGATCAGTTAGGGTTAGAGAAAATGGCAGCTTCAGAGGACATACTCTATGGCATTGCATTCCCACTAAGCTCCTTCCTCTCCCTAAACTCCTCCCTCCCCAGATACTGTCCCCAAATCTGCCAAGTATTAAAACAAACAGGAACAAGGAGGAATCACAGGCAAAAACAAGAATACCTCCCCAGAGACAAAAATACCAGTCATTAATGACTGAAACTACAGTCTAATTGAAATAAAGGATCGTAACAATCACATCTAAACAAACATGAATATTCTAAAGCATTACAAAGATTCCATGAGAAATTACAAGTATGGCCCCGGTCACACAGAAGGTTTTGGCCCGGGAGAGGGACGGATCGGCGACGCAGCAAACGGGTGCGATCTCACAGCAACATCTGGGAAGCGGCGCACACCCATCCCCGATCCATCCCTAAAGCCGGAAAACCCGCTGCAAAAAAGACCCACCTACAGAGGAGGACTTACCTGGAACACTGCATCAAGCGCGGCCATGGGATCGCCGACGTGCTCATCGTCCGGAGCAATCCAGGCTCCCGGCCAAACTGCGCATGCGCACACATGCGCAGTTCGGCTGCTGCGCTCTTCTTTCAGTTGTCCCCCCCCCCCGGCATCTGATCATGCCGGGGAGGCACTGCGTGGCAATCTATGTGATCCCGCCGCTGCGTGTCTCTTTTGGTGCGGCTTTCAAAAGCCGCACTTTGCCCGTGCTTCCCCCCCCCCGCTGTGTAGTTGAATAGAATGCTATCTAATGATCATGAGTTTTAAAGGGGATGCAATGAAGGTGACAATTAAGCCACCTCAGTCTATTATTCTCTTCTCTAAAACATAAGAAGGCACAATGAAGCATCAGAAATGCCGATTATATGAGCCGTTTCAGAACAAAACCTTTGTCAAGAGATATAGATATCTTCTTCCAAAAATAGTGAAATTCAAAGGTACAATGACCCAGGTGCAATGACCATAATAGGAATAGAGATGTAGCCCAGTAGCCTGAAGAAGTCTTAATCACAATGGAACACAATGTAAACGGCTCATATAATCGGCCGCATCCATGTTGAGTGAAGAGATAAACAACTGCAGTGGAATTTCTGACACCTTCACTGTTCCTTCTTACGTACCACCTTCATTGCGTCTCCTTTAAAACTCATGATCATTAGATGGTATTCAGCTTTACAGAGTTTGTACTTCATATTGTGTTAAATATACTTGTAATTTCCTGTGGCATCTTGTAATGCTTTAGAATATTCATGTTCATTTATATGTGATGGTTATGATCCTTTATTTCAATTAGACTGTAGTTTCATTCATTAATGACTGGTACTTTTTGTCTCTGGGGAGTTATTCTTGTTTTTTACCCAAATCTCCCAAGCCAGAGTTGGTGACCTTAGGCCTAGCTGTCGTTCTTCATAAAAAGAAAGCATTCCCTAGAATATGTCTGGCAGTCCTGAGCAGCCACACACCACCCAGGAAGAGTCCCTTGAAACAACCACAGGCCTGGTTCAAAAGTGGTATGAAATCACAGTTTCACTTATAGTTACTGCAATCATCTGAATGTAGATCTGTGAATGTGAGGATCATAAAAGGCTGGGGTGGGGATGTATGAACATTTTTCCATGTTCTCACCTTTGTTTTTGGCTACAATAACCAGGCAGAAGCCAACAGGTGCAACAAAAGCAGTATTTAATTCGCAGACCACTCTGATTACAGAGAAACCCTTTCAGCCAAAACATAACCACTTGCATGTCTCCCTCTCCCTGGCCTCCCCCTCCTGCCCCATGGCACACCTGTCAGCTGTGCTGCCATGGGGGTTGGGGAGTTCCTTCTGTGTCTTGTTAATCGCTATTGCATTCCTATCCCTGCTGTTTGCCCTTTGCTGAAACGCTTATCTCTACAGCAGGAGGAGGCTGTATTGTCTGGAAGTCTCCTATGTACCGTGAGAGACTCCTGGTTCCCAGCTTTAGCCACCTAACGGTTTCCTAACTTGTCCCACGCGTGGGAGGATATCTAATTAAAAGAAGAAGAAAAAAGAGAGATAGAGAAAAAGCTGGGAACCAGGAGTCTCTCACGGTACATAGGAGACTTCCAGACAATACAACCTCCTCCTGCACATCTGTAGAGATAAGCGTTTCAGCAAAGGGAGAACAGCAGGGATAGGAATGCAATAGCAATTAACAAGACACAGAAGGAACTCCCCAACCCCTTGGCAGCACAGCTGACAACACCTCTTTTATCTTTTTATCTACCAGCTCCACCCACAAGTTAAGACTGCCCTCTCTCCTGAAAGCCTTGCCCAAGCCTCCCAGAGGATGGGCTCATCTTCCCACCTTGCTAGCCTTGGCCTGCCTGATTGCCTGCCTGCTTGTTAGCTTTTCCCTGCTCTGGGACCTGGGTTAACCCTTTCTTTTGATAACACAGGCTCCCATCCCACCAGTGACTTCCCCTTTGGGGTTGCAGTGGTTTCCCTGCCAACCCTTTTTTTCCGAGGTTGGCTTGTCAGGCACCCTACTGCCACAGGACCACTCCACCAACTAGGATCTGGAGTTAGTTTATTGACCACCTAGTTGATTTTGTATGGTGTACAAATACAAACATTCTGGATTAATCCTGATTTGTTCCCTGGCATGGCCATCACTCCCATACAGTCCGAGAAACCACCTGGCTTTCTCTAGGCTAGGCAGGGCAGACCAGGGAGGGAATGATAGGCTGGAACTGGCTAACTATAGTTTAAATAGATTCAGGTGGGTTGCCATTGGTCTGAAGCAGCAGAACAAAGTTTGAGTCCAGTGGCACCTTTAAGACCAACAAAGCCTTATTCAAAGTATAAGCTTTGTTGGTCTTAAAGGCGCCGCTGGATTCAAACTTTGTTCCATAGTTAAAATAATTGTTGGTTTCACGTTAAGTCTGAACTAAGCCTTAAAGGTGATTGGCCTAAATAATGACAGATTACAGAATCCTGGTACTGGAGAAAAGTTGTTCATCTGCTGCTGCTGCTGCTGCTGCTGCTGCTGCTGACCCGCTTCAGAGCACTGACAATTTTAAGGTCAATGCAAGAACAACACAGTTGAAGAGGAAGAATCACAGAAAGGGGTTTTTTCCTGAAAGGAGATTTTTGAAGAATGGAGGCAAGCTACTGAGCAAGATACTTAGCCCCTGTTGAGGTTACTGGAGATTTTACAACTTTATCGAATAGCCGGGGGGGGGGGAGAAGGAGGAGGAGGTTTTATACCCTGCCCTTTACTACCCAAAGGAGTATCAGGGTGGTTTACAATATCCATCCCTTCCTCTCCCCACAACAGACACCCTTGTGAGGTAGGTGGGGCTGAGAAAGCTCTGAGAGAACTGAGACTGACCCAAGGTCACCCAGCTGGCTGCATGTGGAGGATTGGGGGATCAAACCCAGTTCGCCAGATTAGAGTCTGCCACTCTACACCAAGCTGGCTCTGATGGCTCCTTCCATGCTCCTCCCCTCATAGCCCTCCAAAGAAAGGGCTGAGACAGTTTAAAGGAACTGGCAAGTCCTGACTATCACACCCCTTAGGGCACTGGAGACTCAAATGCTCTCTCTTCTGACCCTCTTCCTCCAACTAATCAAAACTTGTGTCCTGAGAAGTTTCTGTCACTATCTGTCCTTTCCAGTCACCTTATGCACATGGCTGAGCAATACATACATCATTTTCTTCAGCATAGATCCTCTGTGACTCTATCGGATATGCGGCAGACATAAAATGCCACAGATTAGCATCATCCACCCAGTCATGTGTGGAGGCGGTCAGACATAACCCTGCTGTTATGCAATCAGCAGCGGGCCTTGGGACTGATCACGTGTAGCCTCTTTTTCAAAGCAAGCCTTGACTGTACATCAGCGTAGAAGAAATTACATTCGGTTAAGTCTAGCTTTGGTTACTTAGGGCAGCTACAGGCTGAACAGATTCCTGGCATTTTATTGTACCATACCTTCCTTTCCCACTTTGCACTGAGCAAAGTGCTAATAGCTACAGCAGTCCAAATCAATATAAAAGTATTATTGTGACAAACTATTCATATATATTTTATAGATTTATAATGTATGCAATGTCCCTCCCCCCCAGGAGCAATCATTTCATGCCTATTATAATTCTCTTAATTGTTTTTCCCTTTGGGCTTCCATTTAACGTTTTAGTTATACTACCTTATTTTCCTTTTCTTATTATATGTAATATAGTTTCATCTTTATTTGACTCTTGCATACTGTTGCATTCCATTAGTGGCAACCTGCGAATAAAGCTTTTTTAAAAAGTTTTTAGAAATTCTAGGTAGGGTTCCCTCTGAATTAACTATTTGAAACTTGGATTGAAGCAGAAGTGTGGTTAAGACTCGGCATGGTCAATGGCAGCCTGACACAAACATGTCTTTAGCCCTCAGTTATTCCTGTCAAAATAGAACACAAATAGTTCAAAGAAAGCCTCATCTCTACAGGACAGAGGGACAGAACTGTTACATGCTTTGAATATTCACCACTGTTTTGTTCTCAGGACTTTGAATAAATTTTGAGAGACCAATCCTAAGTAGGTCTCAGATTTCCATTTGTAGCATTACATATTCTTGCAGCTACAACTAAGGCACTAACTAGTTCTACATTGTCTGTTCCCACACAATTTCTAAGATAGCCTAACAATACCATTTTTGGGTCTCTTTAATATTCCATATCTTGTCATTTCTACGATCGTAGCTGAGACCTGTTCCCAAAAAGGAATTATTACTTTTAGATTTTGACAGCACTAGCAGTTTGCTGTGGCTAATCCATAATTAAAGGTGTTAAGCACCAGTGGGACTGCAGCTTGTAAAAACTCTCCTTAATGTACATATTAATCACATCCTTGTTAATGCTGCTCCAGATCCATTCCCATTAACCCAGCAGGATAGTAGTGGAAAGTGCCATCAAAATGCAGCCAATCTATGGCCACACATTGGGTTTTCAAGGCAAGAGACTAACAAGAGGTGGTTCGCCAATGCCTGCCTTTGCATTAGGGTTGCCAGGTCTGGGTTGGAAAATACCTGGAGATTTTGGGGGTGGATCCAGGAGGGTGGGGTTTGGGGAGGGGAAGGGCCTCAGCCTGGTACAATGCCACGGAGTCCACCCTTCAAAACAGCCATTTTCTCCAGGGGAGCTGATCACTGTCAGCTGGGGATCAGTTGTAAAAGTGGGAGATCCGCAGGCCCCACCTGGAGGCTGGGAACCCTACTTTGCATAGCAAACCTGGAATTCCTTGGTTATCTCCCATCCAAGTACTAACCAGAGCCAACCCTGCTTAGCTTCCAAATTCTGACAAGATTCAGCTAGCCTGGACCATCCAGACAGGGCCACACAGCAAAACAAGCTCTCCTATTTCTTTTCCACATCTGGCGTTATACTCCTGTCCCTTTTTTTGTAAATTATTTAAGGATCTATATAATTCCCTTATATATCCTTAACATACATTCTTCTCTATTACCAATTCAATTTCCATCGTATTCTGACTCAATACATTTCTATTTTATATCCCTTGAGAAATGGCTCTAAGTTCTAAGTGCTTGAATAATGGAGGACAATGTCCAACCATTTTCCCTACTGCCTCTTCAAACAAAGGGATTTGATCATTTTCAAAACAGTCCTAAATCTTTAGTAGCCTTTTTGATGCCAAAGCATGGGGTCACCAAACAATTCTGTCGTCAAGAACTGTTGAATAAATCACTGATGCCGATGGTGGCAATCCTGGGCTCAGGATTTCTTTAAATCTTTCCCAAGAAGAAGAAGAGAAGAGATTGGATTTATACCCCGCCTTTCACTACCCAAAGGTGTCTCAGAGCGGCTTACAAACTCCTTTCCCTTCCCCTCCCCACAACATTGTGAGGTAGGTGGGGCTGAGAGAGCTCTTGACAGAAAATGCTCTTTTTCAAGGACAACTCTTATCAGAACTACAGCTTGCCCAAGGTCGTCCAGCCAGGTGCAAGTGGAGGAGTGGGGAATCAAACCCGGTTCTCCCGGATTAGAGTCCGTGCACTTAACCACTACACCAAACTGGCTCTCCCAAGTTACAAGGGTAGCCTGAATAGTCACAGAGGCCTTTTTTCAACTTTCCCCACCTCTTACTGTGATACCATATGATGTCACTAAGGTTAACACCTATCTCTTCTATTGATTTCAAAACTTTTTATATTTGTATACATTAATTTTTATATTTTATGAGGCTATGGTCATTTTTTTCTTACTTATTTGTATTCTGGTCATGGACTGTAAATAAAGTAAAGTAAGTATAAACTCAGTTAAAAAAAATTCAAAACTTTATGTCATCTATACCATACCACTAAATCTATCAGCTTTTCTTGCTAAGTAATAGGTTTGAGCATTGTAAGTTTTTTTACTTACCAAAGATAACCAAGATGAAGAGTGCTGTTGCCACTGACGCAATCATAAAGAACATTATGCTGATGTGGTAGGCTAGCTTCTCCTTATCCTGCACATTGGGAACCAAAACTGGAGGTAGGAGGAACCCCACAGCAATGCCAAGCTAAACACAGAAAAACAACATTAGATGGCATTTATCATCCTCCATAAACATTTCCCTTTTAGTAGATAATGTAGAAGGAACCTGCTTTAATCTACCTCACCTCATAATTTAGCATAAGATATACAAATAACTTTGTAGAGTTGTCCCTTTTACTCAAGATAACAACATCATTAAATCCTATATGTGCACTGGGCTCCACAGTTATCCTACTTATTCCACCTTCTTCCAGGTTCCACAGTTTAAGTCTATGCAAAAATATACCCTGTTTCAGAAGTTCAGGCTGCAATCCTAAAAACACTTCCCCGGAATAAGCCCCATCAGAATTGACTGTTGAGTAGACCTACTTAGGACAGGATGAGGAAAGGTAGATATAGTCTGATCTTGTCAGATGATCTCAGAAGCTAAGTAGGGTTGGTACTTGGATGGGAGACCACCAAAGGAGACTTTGCAGAAGAAGGCAATGCCAAAACACCTCTGCTTAATCAGTTGCCTCGGAAGCCCTAGGGGGTCACTTGATGGCACTTTAAACACACACACACACACAGAATTCTACTTAGGACTGGTCTCTCAAAATACCAGAAACACACTAAACCAACTGACAGATTCACTGAGATAAGCATCTATTGTAGGAAGGATCAGTTGCTTTGAATTTTGTCCATAAATAATTTAAAATTACATTCATACCCACTCAATTTTGCAATGCCTACAGCACATCGCAGAAATGGTGATAAAATATCAACAACCGTAGCTTAAATGTGATTTGTCTTTTCATTCAAGGCTCTTCAGCTTCATGTTCTGGAAGATCTTTGTGTTCAAAATTAAGAGAACAAGGTGACCAGAAGTGCCATCCTAAGCAGAGTTATACCCTTCTAAGTACAATGACTTCAATCTATCTACCTATCTACCTACGTACCTATCTATCATCTATCTAAGGGTATAACTCTGTAAAGGGTTTTAGGCAAGAAAAAACAGCATCTATTCTCTCATATTTACCAATGCCCTCAATCTATGGTTATAAAGAACTGGATTAGTCGTGGCAGTGTAACCTTTATCTTGACCAAAGAACTGAGGCTCTGTGCTGATAGCCTGTGTCCATGTCACAGTGATACTGTTTTTCAGCTGCACAAGTTGTTTCATAATATCAGCAAAATAGGAGCACAACTGAGAATCCATAAACTGAAATATAGGATAGGCTGTAAAATATGAATGGAATTAATTAGGAATATATTCAGATGGGGAAAATTCAAATTCTGGAATTAACTTTGTGTCACATTTGATCTTTCAGGTATGGACTAATGTCCATACTGCAGCCAAGAATACCATCTAACCCAGAAATCATTAACTCCACAATGTTTGTCAAGAGTTCTTCATCAGCCAGACACTGTTCTGAAACTCTTCCTTATCTCACAAGTGAAGTGCTTTGGAGTTCACCATTATCATAATGGAACGCATGATTGAGAGGGTCTGAAAGGGAACCACTCTGTCTGCTAACATGGATCCACAATTGCACTACATTGGCTTAAAAGTTAAATTCCTGATGTTAGCATACAGACCAACGTCTAATCCACAGAAAGCTTCCTAGAACTTTATGTAGTACTCTCAAGATGAAAAGTTCTTCAAACAACTATTGTGTTAATCTTCAACAAAAAATCCTGTGAGTAGGTAACTATTGTCATTTTGTACACTGGGAACAGACTCAGATATTAGTACCTCGTCCAAAGATACCGAATATATTTCCAACCAAAGAAGGGATTTGAACTGGAATTGCTTCCTGGGAAACAGAACCAGTTTCCCCACTTGAGGCAGCCAGGAAATTGATGGGGTAGGGGTGTTGATTCTATAGGTAGATAAGCTCTTCTTACTCAGTAAAGACTGGCAGTATACTTATCTCTGAATCACACTCCACAAGAAATTAATAAGTGAGTAGCCGTGTTGGTCTGCAGTAGAAGGGCAACATTCAAGTCCATTAGCACGAGATTCAAATCCAGTAGCTGGTGGACTCGAATCTTCAAGAAGAAGAAGAAGAAGAGATTGGATTTATACCCCGCCCTTCACTTGGAGTCTCAGAGCGGCTTACAAACTCCTTTCCCTTCCCCTCCTCACAACAGACACCCTGTGAGGTGGGTGGGGCTGAGAGAACTCTGACACAAACTGCTCTTTCAGGAACAGCTGTGCCAGAGCTTGTGACTGACCCAAGGTCACATCAGCAGGTGCAAGTGGAGGAGTGGGGAATCACACCCGGTTCTCCCAGATTAGAATCCACACACTTAACCACTACACCAAACTGGCGTAGAAATTAACACTGGCACAGGATGGCCTATAGCTTTAAAAGGTAGCTAAAATGGAGCCTCCATATTCAGAGGCAGCCTTCCTCTGAAAAACGGGATGGCTTTGTCCTCCATGCCTGGGTTGTAAACCTTCTGAGGACATCTATTTACCACCTGGTTGGCCCCTGTGGAACCAGGATGCTGGATCACTGTTCTTCTTGTTCTTAAAGTCCTTCCAATCAATTTTCGCTAAGGTTTTCAGGGATGTGTTTATGTCTCTGTATACATATACAGATCCAATGAGTTAAAAGTTAGATGAGATGGAAACAGCATAGCAACAAATTACAGGTATTATATCTAATCTGATAAGCAGTCCGCTGCTCACAGAACAGAATTCTACACATCCCACAAAAGCTTCAGGAGTTACCATATTTAAAAGACAGACAGTTCCCAGGCTCCTCCATTTTCTTGGTTTGGCTTCTTATTCTTTTTCACATGCCCATCACTTCTGTAGCAACAAACTGATGGAACCCTTAGGATTGCATCACTGATACATGCTTGGCGCAGCAGATGCCAGTGTCATGTAATTTCTGAAATGCATCTTTAGAATTACTGGAGTACTGTGAATTCATGCCACTATAAGTAAAGGCAGACCAGGATAAAGTCAAACAGCATTCAAGAGGCACCTTTAAGATTAACCAGTTTATTCAAGCATCAGCTTTCATGAGTCTGACCTCCCTTCTTCAAATGCAGACTGGTACACCATCAGCTAAAGCAGAAACATCCTTGTTTACATCCTACCTCTCTGTCTTCCATCTGACACAGTTACACGTAAAGGCAATCCACACCCCAATTTCATGTATGTGGATAGAAAAACATCTAATAATTTAATGCTGCTCACTTCCCCAAGCAGTACGATGCTCCAGAGCAGTTACTTCGATGGCATTTAGTGGACTGTGTACTTGCAAATACACTAGTGGAGCAAACTGCACATAGGTACATTGACAGGCCAGGGTAGTCCCACAGCAACTACAGTCTCCAAATGCAAAAGCAGCATCCAGGAAACTCCAACAATCTCAAGTCCAATCAGAAAAAGATCTCCAGCAGCTGGATGAAGCATATTCCAGGAGCCTGGAATAGCCACTGCACTTCGGAGTCTATCCAATGATCTATTGTGCACTGCATCAGGTCCCAGAGTCTAACCAAAAAGGGGGAGAGGGGAATTCTGGGTCCAGAAGAACAATACTGCAAGCAGATTAAATCAACAATTGTGGCACCCTGCAACCTGACAGTCCACAGGCATTAACCTGGCAGCTGGTCTGTTTACAGCAAACCCTGGATATTACGCTAGAAGAAGAAGAGGAAGAAGAGATTGGATTTATACCCCGCCCTTCACTACCCAAAGATGTCTCAGAGCGGCTTACAAACTGCTCTTTCAGGAACAGATGTGCCAGAGCTTGTTACTGACCCAAGGTCACATCAGCAGGTGCAAGTGGAGGAGTGGGGGATCAAACCTGGTTCTCCCAGATTAGAGTCCGCACACTTAACCACTACACCAAACTGGCTCTCTTTTGTCCCAGAAGTTTGGGTGCCTGAATATAGCAGATCCAAGCAAATCTGAAGTTTAAATATCCCCCCTACTATCTCTTCTGTTGACAAGTTCTTGACCTTCAGACACAAGCACTTGGGTGTGTTTAGCAGTGCATTCACCACTAGATAAAGGCAACCCAGTCAAAACCCTGCAGTATTATGACGAGGAAACCTGCACTTGCACCCAGTTCACAGACGGCCTCTGCCTTTACTGACTTTTGCTGGCAGGACAGCAAACCATTTCAACATTTCAAGACACAGGGTATTTGCATCAGTAGTTTGGATTGAGATGCTTACGAACATTGTTAGATTATGACTTTAAAAAAACACAGAAGATAGGAACCTAAAAACACCATCTCATCAGTATTGGTTTAGCATTCAGTTTACAGACACAAGAAATACAAAGCCTGGTGTTAGCACCACTTCTGAACACAGCCAAAGGTCTCCCAGCCTAGCAACCATTTTACTGTTCAGTTGTGACTCCAAAAGCAATAGCCATGTAGTTGTGTGTTTTTTTGGGGGGGGATTTTGCTATAATTCAAATGAGTCTGAAATGTCTGTTCAAGGGAACCTGTTCAAGGGAACCTTCAGATTTTTACAAAACCAGCACAAAGCCAACATACCATCTCTCTGTGCAAGATGTGCATATAAACTTGCCTGGTGCCTTGCAAACCTTTGCTACATTTCCTGAGAACATGTTTCATTTTTTACTTAAACGTAAATGTATGTGTTATTCCAGCTGCTTTATTTTTGCAGGTTATCTAGTGTAACACACTCAATCCTAACCATCCCCATGTTTGCTGTGTGTGTATTATCTTTACAATTTGTAGGCTCAACATCTATTTGTAACAAGTCTTCTAGCTATGAAGGTGTGGTGCATTCCACATCTCCTCCCAGTTTCTGTGCTCCCTTGAGAATACTTCGTGGCCTGCTGACCTTTACAAATCTGCAATTACTTTAAAAAGTGGTTCTGCTGACAGCAAATGTTTTAGGGAACATTTTTTTGCGGGGGTCAAAGATTGCTGGTATGTTTCCAGTGTTCCCAGTTTCAGTGAAGACATCAGTTTGCATACTAAGAAATGAAGCTGGGGATTTGATGGAGCTGTGAAAAAACGATACACAAGCATTTATGGAGGATGATCA